GTGACTACCAAGGGGAGAACAGCTGCCATGTAGATTTCAAAAATGTTGCACAGGTTTGAAAGATAGTTCTCTATTTGTCTTTAGTTAATTAGTTTAATTATTGAATTTTGAGGTTTTTTTAACCTATATGTTGCCCTTTAAAACTGTTTTCCTAAGGGAGTGGGAGCTGAGAAGTGGCATACATTCAACAATGCCTTCCAAACTCTTTCACTGCATGTGATTTCTCATGATTGGGCCCTGAAAATGAAGGAATCCCACTCACCTAAGAATTAGTTTCAAGGGAGGAAAGGAAGAAATCCCTCACTGCTCTATGTCCTAAAATAATTTTAATACACTCTTCATCAAATGTGATGTGTGACCAGCTTGTTTTTGCTTCAGATATTCTTATGTTGATAGTTACTATTAAGAAAAATATCCACTCTGTTGGGCTGCTAACAACATTAATACCAATTAATCCAATATTTAAGATGCTGGTTATAAAAGTAATATTTACTATTTTTTAATAGTTCCCCTACTTTTCAGAACCAAAAGCCAGAGACTTTTGTGCAAAGGACATTTGCTAAACAGTATAATTCACAGCTGTGCTATTGTCACTACCTAGTATGTAATCATGACCTCAGCAGCTCTTACATTTACTTCCCCTGAATCTCCTTTTTTTGTGGTCTGACTCAATGCCAAAGGACACCCCTGAAAACCACAAGTAGCTGCTTATGCTTTAATCCAGCACTGGCAAATTGCAGAAATGACACTGTTAAGGACTATCAGTGAAAATCAGAATAAATGAATTTTGCTATGATATTTGTTTAATTGGAATTAACTACTTGGGAGACTATTAGAATTCTATGCCCTATCCCCTTTAGGAGTCACCTTTCCCATTAGGCAGGTATTTTTCCATTGCTTTTCAGGGAGTAAATGAATTCTATTAAAAAAAATGTGGCGTCTCACTTGTTTTTGCAGGGATTCTATTCTTAATTTTTTTTAAAATATCTTTGTACATTTGCATCTCACTGTTTCTATCATCTTACAATGGTATACTGCCCGATGCATGTTGCTTAAGCGTCTAATACCAGCATCCGCCTGGCCAATTCAATCTCTTAGGATTGTAGCATTCCAATAATGACAAAATGGTCATCTACCAGGACCCCAGAAACACTTTTCTCTGTAGCAACGCCTATCCTCTAGATTAGAATGAGGTTCCCTCCAAGATCCAGGTGGCCTTGTTTAGAATAGCTATGAAAATCTGATTCTACAACCAGGCCTCCTTAGGTGAGGGGGAGAATGAGACCCCTCACTTCATTCCAACTGATCTATTACACTTGTCATATTTTATCCCTTTATTGTAATTTCTTTCCTGCAATTGTTGTGAGCTGCTCAGAGCTGTTGGAAGTCATCATACTTTATAGTTTAATAAATTATCACTATACATTATTAGAGAGTAAGAGGAGTAAGTTCTTTCAGCATTTTGAGCGTGAATAGGAAGTCTCTTGTTAAAATCAAGAAGAGAAAACTAGTCCGCTAGACACCAAGGTCAAATTTCCTTTTCAATCCAAACAAAATTTGCCTATTTTCAGAATGCTCCAAAATTGTCCCTAATCCAAAGAAACAACTGATTATCCAGTCAACCAAACTGATAAACTCACTCAGTTTTTTTCTACATAAAAATAGTGAATGCCATAAGCCACAAATCTTTTACAGAAACAATGTTTGCTCATTTCAGCCAAAATTCCATTATTTGGGGAAACTGTTCAGAATGCCAACTTCTGACAGGACAAACTAACCAAATTAATGTCGACACAAATCACATTCTGCTGGTTGTAGCAAATTATATATTTTGGAATGCACAGAGTATGGAATTCTCAGCCAGACAACCAAATTCACCAACTGTGTAGGAGTGGAGAGCACTTCCAGGAGCACACTCTAAGCCTCCCAAAGCCTCTGCACGGCCATTTTTGTGAAGGGGCGGGGTTTCGGGAGGCCAAAAATGCTGTTATCAGTGTATCAGATGCACCCAATTTTCACCCTCTTTTTTGGGTAAAAAGGTGTGTCTTATACTCTGAAAAATACAGTATTATAAGATTTTGGTGATCTTACCAGAGTTTTACAAGATATTAATACAAGACCCACAGCTGACCTTTGATCACCACCTGTCGGCTGTGACCAGGGGGGCATTTGCCCAGGTTCGCCTGGTGCACCAGTT